GTGTCTTTCAGTCGTATTCATAAATTTTTTTGACATATTTGAAATTTGAACCGCTAAATACATTTATGCATAATTGCAACATTTTTTTATATCATAATTTATGCACATTTATGCGAGTAAATCGTTAACCAAGCTCCGGATGAAATTGAAATTGGTATCGTTGGAAAGCAGAAGTCCTCCTCTTTCGAACGATGCAATTTCTGTTTCCGTGCGATGTATAGTTTGCGAGATATAAGCGTTTGAAACAACACCACTCGAAATTGCTACTTTTCGACCGGATGAGAATGAGTTAAGGAACTTATAAAATTGTTGAAGAATTAACCTGCGTTGCAGGCCCTCAGAGGATTCCTCCCCCGTGCCCGCCAGAATCCTGCCCGTTGCAAATCAGGCCCCCATAATACTGAGGGCCTGCCACGCAGGCTATTGAGGAATATAATTGTACAGAGGTGCATGTTCCTTCAAGTTAGGAAATGAATTGGTCAACATTTTTTGGAACACTTCTATTGGCACAATCTCGTTCCCAGAGTATGCCTGTTCGCGGGTTATGTAGTGACATGATTACATAACCCGCAAACAGGCATACTCTGGGAACAAGATTGCTATAGCACGACTGTAATGAGTTTTTAAAGTATATTTTCAGTTCATATCTCGTTTGATATTTAATTAAAACATTTTATATGAACAACAGTTCAACCGTTGTAGTCAGTGTAATAAATTTTATGAAAATTTGTAAGTTTGATTGTAATACTAAGGGTGAGCTACGTTTAGTAAGATTCTATCGTAATAGCTAGTGACTTTTAAAATTGGAAGCGAGTGTGTTAATAATAAAGTGTTGATGCAATAAAACCATGTTTAATTTGGCGACTCAGGAGATATCATTAATTTTGCCTTATTTTCACCGATCACAGCCTCGCAAACTTTAGCCCTATATTTTATAACTCCTTTGATTTTTTATTAAAATTGCTTAATTAAAGAGGTAGTGTTGAGCTTTGGTTTCAGCATTTGTACTTGTTGCATGTTTCAAACATTAGATGAATCAGAGGAAGCAGTGGTAAGGGTAACAGGAAGGAATTAACAACATATTTCTATGGACATTTTTAGTTTGAATTACCCAGAGGATGAAGATGTACAGGAAGTGGACAGCTGCTTAGACCATCATTATGCCTCCATTCTGAACGATGGTGATTCAACTGCCCTTTGTTATGAAGAACAGGACAGCATCACATTTAATGGTGACAAGAATGAGATTTTTTGCGACTACAAAACAACAGCAGAGGATGTTCGTGCACAACCTGGTGTCCCAAAGAAAGAACTACACGAACTTCTTGACGGTTTGGCAAAGGAAATCGACTACACATCCATATCTAAATTCAACATTTCTCGAAGTTTTATATGGGAAGGAGCGAAAAGGGCATTAACGCGAAAGTCATTTTGTGCAAAAAACAAGATGTCTGTAAAATTTACAGATGACATCGGCAACAGCGAGGGAGCCGTTGACTTGGGTGGACCTATGAAGGAATTCTTCACACTAGTTTTGCAGTGGATGGTCACTTCCCAGTTATTTTGTGGCCCTGAACATCACAAATACATCTCTTTCCAATCCACTTGCCTCGAAGGTAACGATTATTTTTTTGCTGGGACTCTCATAGCAATGTCCTTAGTGCATGGTGGCGCTGGACCGCAGTGTTTTGCCCATAACATGTTTGAAGCTCTTCACCGCGTTCCTGACAAAGTTGCCATTACAATTGAAGATGTGTATGACAGGGAATTACAGTCATCACTTGAAAAGCTAAGTAATTCGGTTAGTAAAGAAGAGGCGGTCCAAGTTATGAATGGCAACACTTTGCAGGGCGTTCTTGATCTTGCTGGGATGCTTCAACCGATCCAGACAACAGACGACATAAGGAAGATTGCCGAAATGACAGCAAAGTGGTTTGTCCTTGGACGTGCCCAACCAGCATTGGAAAGTTTCCTAAATGGGTTGTCAACGCTTGGGGTCCTTGATGCACTCACACAGAATCCTGATGTTTTTCATCCAGCGTTTTGCTACTATCCCGAAAAGCTTACAGCTGAAAGCACTGAAAACCTGTTCCAGGTGTTCCAAAGTCCAGTTGGATCAAACAAAGCAGTAACAGAAAGCTTGGTCCTATCACGATGGCATGATTATCTACAGGATATTCATATTTTCAGTATATTTGTATTACGTGCGGAAATTATTACCATTTTCAGCTCAAAAATGGTAACAATTTCCGCATGTAATACAAATATACTGAAAATATGCAAACTTCGCAAGGCTATAGTTTCTAAGTTTTACAACATTTCAGAACCAAATTTTGCAATTTTACTGATTTTAAGAAGTTCTTTATGGGAATTTACTTTTTTGGCCTAAATAAAAAATTAGTCTAACATGCAAGTTGTCTATTGGTATATTTGACAGCCTTTGCTACTGTAGAATGGACTGGTAAACTTTAGTCAGAGTAGTATCGTTTATCTAAGCAAGTATTGATATTTATTTTAAGCAACAAGATATGTATATGATTATGTATCAATGTTTGTTAACTATTAAAAAGTTATTAATGTAGTAACAATTTGTAAAGTATATACATGACTGGCCATGATTTTCGTTTTACAGTGCCCAAAGTCTACCAGCGAGGTGTGTTCGGGGTAGGGATCTTCATTTAACAAGTATATAACATCAAGTTAACAAGTTACTCATCACTATTGTACCGTTTGAAATTAAACTGTTTTAAACATCATAATTATACAGGGTGTATCAAAATAAACGCAATTCATCTTTTGTGCTTAATAACTTTCAAAATACTATTTCTAGTTAAATGCTTTTAGGCTTACTTCAAAGCCTGTTCTTTTCTCTTTCAAACAAACTATATCCTTGTCTCCAATGCTAGTAATAATTGCACAGGAAAAGATTTAGTAAAACCTATCATTTTTAGTTGCTGTTTAATTATGCAAGTTTACTATGTTATTGTTTAGTCGGTTTAAATGTTAGAATTTTCTTCTTTAAACTTTAATGTTGTCGTCACTACATCTGGAAAACCAGCCGTTCCGCACGTTGTAACCAATAATTTATTGGCGTTGTAATGCCATTGTATGCAATAAAGTATTGGTTACAATGGATTTATAATTAATCCAAACGCTAATCCTAATTCAAACCCTAATCCTAACCCTAACCCCTAACCCTAACCCCACCTTCTAACCCCTAGCCCCTAACCCCACCTGCTAACCCCGCATTCTAACCGCAAACCCTAGCCCCAGCCAGCTACCCCTCCGGGGAACTACACTACCGCCTCCCCTCCGTCCACCAAGCAAAGCCAGTTACACTTATACCTAAAACTTTTGTGCAGTGCTTGCGGTTTTGTTTTCAGTTACAACCCAGTACTTTATTGCATACAATGGCATTACAACGCCAATAAACTATTGGTTACAACGTGCGGAACGGGTGGGAAAACCACGTAAGAACAAATTAAAAGTATTTTATAAGAGACCAGGTTGTTTGAAAATCCTAAACGAATGCTAAAAATCGTCAAAACATTCTGGTGTCTGAGCCAGAGTGTCATCGAATTGCGATGTAATGTAAACAGAAATTATAGCAAGTTGATGTCAGTCAGCTTAGATGGTCCAAGCCAAAATTATATCGCATTTGAAGTTAATTTCAATTTTCAAACTGAGTTAAAAATAGTGGAAGAAAAGCCGCAATTATATATATACTTATTGTTACAATCCATTTAATAAAATGCAACATTTTTTTGTTTTAATGAAAAAATCAGTTATTTTCATGAGAACGATTTGTTATTTTATCTCAATTTTTTTAATCTCCAATCGCAATAACGTAAAGTATTATTACCCGCGAACCAATGAGTCAAATTTAAGAAACAACCCACTGTTAGAAAGCTGAATAGCTACGCTTTAAAATGAATGTAGACTTTAACGTTTTCGTCTATTATTTGTTTAGAAATTTACATTTCAGTCGAGGATTGCGCTTTTTTTGATACACCCTGTATATATATATATATATATATGTATATATATATATATATATATATATATATATTTATATATATATATATATATATATATATATATATATATATATATATATATATATATATATATATATATATATATATATATATATATATATATATATATATATATATATATATATACATTCCAATTGATCTGTCGGTTGTTGATCTGTAAGGTCATTCACTGTCATTGATATACAAGAGCAACAATAATGGACCCAATAACTCCTGATCTCAATGGCTGTGCAATTGATGATTCGCCGTCACACAATGTGGTCTGGGTACGACTAGTTAGGAAATCTCTAATCCAGTTGTTTAATGAGCCTTCAATGTCATAAGAGTTCAGTTTCAATAATAATCTCTTGTGTGGAACTTTGTCGAGCGCCATAGAGAAGTCTAAGATTGCCAGGTGCGTACTTTTACCATCATTAAGTATTGAAGTGCATTTGAAATATCTTGAACTGTAGTCAGTAATTGCGTTTCAGTGGAACGTTTATGACGAAATCCATGTTGTACATCAACTAAAATATTGTTGGATTCTAGGTGGCATCATATGACTAGCTATGAACAATATGTTCTAACACTTTACATACTACTGAAGTCAGCGAAATTGGTCGATAATTCACACAATCCTCTTTTCAAGACCCCATGTATGTTTGCATTCTTCCATTCAGTGGGCAAGGTGGCTTGATCAAGGGAGGACTGGAACAGATCTGTCAATACATGAGCTAACTCTTTAGATAACATTTTGAGGATCCAAGAGTTATTGCTTCACAACACCTTGGAATTAGGAAGACAGGTCTTCATTTGTAAAAACATTACAGGACTGTTAGTTTAATCCATTAGCCTTAGCAGAAGGGTCACCAGTCAGTTTCTCACCGATGTTAAGGTCAGGAATTCCAACAGAACCATCACTTTTAGATTTCTTTATAGATGACCAGAAAGATTTAGGATTCTCTTGAATATTGTCTGTTAAGTATCCGGACACATAATCGTTCCTTGCAACTGCTAAGTCTTGCCTTATTATTAATGACAGTATTAATGATCTTCTATCTTTTATTTAGCATTGTGTCCATATCATTGAACTCTGTGTAAACTGGGAGGCTAACTCAGGGGGGGGGGGGGATTCTGAGATATGAGCAGAAATACTCAACACTGAACGTTGTGCTGTATATGAAACTGAAGCTATTGAAAAACGCTATTTGTCAAGAAAGTTCTATTAACCAATCCGGTGCGTTAGTGTTTTAGTGGAAGTATGGTCACAGAGTAGAGACATACAGAGACGGAACTAGTGTATCCACTTTTTTGTGCGCATGCTCGGCAAGTTACTAGATGCATGCATCTGACTGGATGACGACCTGGTGACGACTCACTTTAAACTTGCTGAGCACGCGCAGTTGATCATTTTTCGCCCGGTCGCCTGAAAAAAAGTGGGTACATGAAAACGTAATCTTCCGCAGTGTTTACGACGTTCAGTTACGTCTCTGTATGTCTCTACTCTGTGGTCAGTGGTGCCTGGTCTCAGTGTGACCAGATTTGGTAATTTTAATTACTTTTGGTAATATTTCGCGATTTTTCTGACTTTTTTGGTAATTGAAAATTTTTGGTAATATTTTTAGTAATTTCTCTTAAAGTTAGTAATATTTTGGTTATCGCATGAAATTCAACCAAATACGCCATAATGACACAACCTGTTATTCAAAAATTCAGTGAGAACAGTTACAGGTCCATGCCTGCAAAGCTGTACATCCAAATTGCAAGCTGCTGGCCCAAGCCAGCTGAATCGACGGAATCCTGCTGATCACCACTCACCCTGTCGGGCTAGGGACCGGGGCCCGGGTCCGATCATGGTCATGGCGGCACCATATTTGCATTTTATACAAATTCAATGAAAAAGTACGAGTGGGAAAGAAAAATATGGGAAAAAACACAGTTTCAGTGATGGAAAGCGTTTTACCGATTTTGTTTTACTGAGTGTTTTATTGATTTTCAGACCACTTTGGTCGACAGCAGAAATTTAGTAATTTTTTCTACGTTTTGGTAATTTTTTGCATGCTTATTTAGTAATTGCCTTGCAAAAATCTGGTCACACTGCCTGGTCACAGAATAGGAAGTTATACCAGAAGCGTAACTCTAGTCGTTTCCCTTATTGTTTGAGGTCCACGAAAATTTTAACTCGCTCACGTCAGGCCACGCCATCCTGGCTAGTACAGCCGGAAGTTTTTATCAGGATTTGGTAGGTACAAAGTGCCGGTTGTACTAGCCAGGATGGCGTGATTGATGACGAATCGCTTGTAAAAACGCGGACAAATATTTGCTCGAGTTACGCTTCTGGTATAACTTCCTATTCTGTGGCCTGGTCTTGTCACGTGGAATATTTGTAAAACATGGCGGCATTTATATCTGAAATTTCATCGCAGAAGTCCAGTTGACATGCAAATGATTCGGCGAAGAAGGAAGGTACCATATAGATATGTAAATTTTGATAGGTGAATGCTTTCGGCATTGAATTAAGATGAATATAATTAAATTTATTAAAGACTTATTTTTTAATAGGTTTTTTTTTATTCAATTTGTGACTTTTTAATATATATAAACTCAAGACAGATATTTTGCACTTTATATAAAATTATAGCCATTTATAGTGATACATATAGATCTCCTTACTATCCTATACCTATGGGTTTAGTGGTTTATATGCATGGGGCTCTTAATTGCAAATAATTAAGACCGTGGACGTCACAGCCATGAGCCATTTTGCCTCTTCCACAACAGCCTGTGTGGTATATTACGCTCAGGGTCTGACGGCGGAACACATCAACATCATCAGACTGCAGAGGGCCTCATTATAAGAGAATTTGTGTGCCCTCGTGGAGGAGGTAGGTTTGTTAATATTAAAAATATAATAAATGTGTGGATAACAATGCAATTCTGCAGTTTTGCACTTTATATGTTAAAATTATTAAGTAGGGAAGAAGAGGTCTGGCTGTTTCAAGGTTTAATAGCATTTCATTGAAACAGCACTTATAAAGATATATGTACAGACTTAGGTAATAAAGGTAATATGGATTTTGTTTACATGATAGATTATAGCTCATGCATACCCATACCATGGTTTATAATTTCAACCTGTTGTATGGCCAATAAAAGTTCCATCTTGAAACACAAGATTTGACACATTTGCAATATAGAGTTCAAAATATTACATACAGTTTCTTTCTCAAGATGGCACTGTTTATAAATTAATACTGGGAGTTTGTTTTGTTGTATTAAAGCTCGAAAGTCAATTGCATATTTTGAAATTATGTTCATTGAATATGGTAATCCTACTTTTAAATGAATGAACCCACACTTGAAATTTGTACAGTTTATTTTATAAAATAGAAAAATAAATAAGTTCTTTGCTCTTTAATTTAATTTTACAGTACTATGATTATCATAGGTACAATTATATACAATATACATCTGAACTACAATTCACTTTTGATCAAAGTTAGAGAATGTTCAGAAAAAGATAGAAGCCACTTTGAGTCTTTGTCTTTACAAAATGAATGGAGAATGAAGATAGAGCTGAGTCAGCCGACTACCATAGAATATTATCTTTGCACATTGAATGAATGGTAAATGAAAATATAGCTAGTAATAGACTTTCTGAGGTCCTAGAGTCTGCATCGCAGGTTAAGAGGTCCTTAGACTTAACTGTACATGCCTCTCCATAATTATGTATAAAATGGAACAAGAACTGATCTACAGTTCTGGTTTTGTTCAAAGGTTGAGACAGAAAAGAACAGAAAATACTTTGAAACAAACATATATATTTACAAGAGATCAGTCCTCACTGTGTATGTCTCTTCATATGCAATGCAAGATGATCTGATCTACTGAATGCTCGTTCGCAATGCTGGCATTTGAATGGTTTGGCTCCAGTATGTTTCCGAAAATGTCTGGTAAGTTCATCTGACCGGGCAAATCGCCACGTACATCCTTCCCATGAGCATTTGTATGGTTTTTCCCCTGTATGTGTCCTTTGGTGAGCTTTGAGGTGCGAACTTTTTGTGTACACTTTGTTACACCCAGGATGGTCACAGTGGTGTATTCTACGCCGTTGTAAGTCAGCTGCAGCCGCACGCCGACCTGTAGTTAGTGTAGCATATGCAGGAGGTGGGTGCATAAGTATTGCTGACCGAGGGATTGCATTCTCTGGGGAACCTGGATTTGAACTTGGTGGTGTTGGTGGGTAGACAACCATACAATTTCTGATCTGTGGTGGACGAAATTGATTAAAATTAATGTCTACTGAAACTTGTCCATTTTCTGAGTTAGATGTGATAATTTTCTCATGATCGCCTATATTTAGAAAAACACTTTCTTTCAATTCTCGTTCTTTGACTTCTTCAACTTTCACAGAGTTATCAAAATTGAAAAATTCACTGACAACATTCGCGCTCTCTCTTCGAAATTTTCGTCTGCAGCTTGGGAATGAAAAAGGACTTATCGGTGAGGGTACAGCTGGTAAATATCTTTCCATTTCGGTTCTTACCTAATAGGAAATAAACGAAATAATTATCAGTGTTGTTTGTTAAAATATTAGATTACCAAAACAATATATACACTGTCCTTCAATATTAATGTTTATATGGAAAGCTGTGTCTGTGATGGTTACAGGAAAAACCAAATTTAGGAAAGCATATTTTCGTTGAACAGTTTATTCATGTAGTCGCACTGACGAAAACATAATCAGTATATTGTTTAATTAATGTATTACATTGACTGTATACAGTATATAATGCCTATAAATATTATATGTCTAAGTCCAAGGATAACACTGCAATAGTTAATACAAGAAAAACCAAATTTAGGAAGTATTTTTGGAATTTTGGTTGAACTGTTTTGTATTCGTGTACTGACTTGGCACCGTCATGTAATATTGATTCGGCGGGCTTTCTTTGTTCACAAGTGCCAGTCACAAGATAACAACACTAAGTTTTACTTATAAAAATGCCTTGGTTTTTCTTGCAACATAATATCACAGTAAAATATCTGAAACTGCAGATCCTAAAAATATTTACTATAACTGACGCAGTTTGAAAAAGATGGAGTATGGCCAATGTCGGGCAATGAAAATTGATACTATGTATTATGCGAAACGTGACCTTGCGCATATAAGTAGATACACTGATTTGAATTAGTTTAGCAAATTCTCTATACTATATTTAAAAACTCTTTTAATTTGTTTCATTTTATCTTAAGAAGATTGCGCTTTGTTAACAACATATTATAAATATCCAACGGCAACGTATGATTAAGTTCAACAGGTGGTTCGTCAATTCAATGAACGTAATTTTATCAACTCTCCATAAACGACAACGTCAACAAAATACGTGAATAACAAACCCTTTTTTTAGTATGGGGCTTAAAACTGCCTTTCAAAGCCCTCAATATACTATAATAAGGTAATTTACTAAACATTATAACTATAAGCCTCCCGGTAGGTTGTGATTTAATACTAGTGATAACTATAGAATGGGATTTTATACAATATACATGGCACCACACATATAAACATAGAAATATTTGTATAGCATATCAATGCATATCCCATATAAATCACAACATAAAGGTTCTTTACTAACCGTAACATCGTCCGGGGAGTTTATATCGACTCCTGAAGATAAATTCAAAGATCTAATCGCGACCACATTGGTGTTGGTTAGGGACTGTAGTTGCGCGAATGGATGCCCTTCTGTTGATGAAGTTGTAACAGTAGTGGTTCGTGGTTCAACTTTAACCACAGGAGCAGTCATTGCCATACTATATCGATCTAAACCTTTACTGTGTCACCTGATTATATGATTTCCGAACAAAACAAACCGAGCAAAATTACTGCTATGCTCTTCGATAACGTGGTTTTATAAGAGCAACCTCGCAGTGGGATATGGGTGCGCCATTCTGACATACCATATATGGTATAATCTCACTCAGAGCCTGTCAATTGTGTTATTATCAAACTGACAGATATCCAGACAATACCATAGCACACCGCGCTCAGCCAATCACATCACGAGAAATTAATTTTATTATGCTGATGACGTCAATGCATCTTAAACATATTCAAAATTGGCTGTGTGTAATACAGTCCACTTGGGAATTATGATAATCAGTTGTTAAATCAAAACAAATACTCATCATCTTAGGATTGCACATCGCTGAATAAAAGTTAATGGTGATATGAACGGTTAACAAAAATAGTATCGTTATGTAGCTATGGTACGTATTCTTTATTTGTTAATACCAACATATCTAGCCATAATTGTATTTTTATCTCATTTTGTTAACCAATACAAAGCCCGTGTTCATATCACATGACGGATAGTTACATTTGAATTTTTAACGGTTTATTACCCACCACAGTTCGCAGGAAGTTCCTGAAGTGGCTTTGTTTAAAACTTTCCAAACAAGCGTGCTAATATGTTGAATAGACTTTGAACATTACAGTTGTTTAAAAAACGATTGTAAATGGTCTAAATGTTGAGTGTAGAATGAGGTGAACTTTACTCAAATATATAGGACTATCATAGCCATAGGACGTAAATTTAAATGGTTATATTTCGATCCTATTTATACAAAGTATCATCAGACACATGATACCAAGGTCTATCTATCCAGTTTTAAGCGAGCAACATTTACATTTTTTAATCCCTGTCAACATGTCTTCTCCACCCAGTGACCTCTATGTCAAAGTCAATTACATTGTTTGCCATTCGGTAAACTGCCGGCTCTGATTGGTGCGGAGTTTTCCGACGACGGGATATCGGAATGTTTCGGCTCTATTTTTAGACACAACACGGCAGCCGACGCCAGAACGATTATGATTCGATGGTAATAGAGATAATGTGCACCTGTTCGTAGATTTTCCTTCGATAACCTTCCTTAATACTAATTGGTCAGGATTAAAGAATTAACCATTAAAATTACCTCTTGTGTTAGACCGTATCTTGGGTTCTCAGTTTTACTATGTTTTATTTTTTTAAATTCTTAAAATACAAATATCCGAATGAACCACCCTGTCCCTGAACTTCATAATCAAATACCAGCGCTGAGTTTACGTAGACGAGTGAAAGCTCAATATATTACAGACAAGAAAAAAAGACTGGTCAATTGTAGTTAACGACCCCCCCCCCCCCCC